CCCCCCAACCAAATGAAAAAGCACCAGTACCAGGTACCATGCCGCAAATCCCTGTAGTTTCACCCTTTCAGCCGTGGTCCTCTGCTCGTGTCATGTGTCGTTGCGCCGTACTCCCGTAGTCTCATTACCCGCCGTTGATCGCCAAATTTCCATGCGATCGCGATGATCAGTCCCCCGATGGCTTCAATGACTAGGCGGCGGCCTGGCCAGCGGCGCCGGCTGCCGAGCCCGCACCAGCTTGCAATCCCACCCCTTGGACCTCACCACCCACAGCGACGACGGCGGCGGCGTCGGCCTCATCATCCTCCATGTCCACGGCGCGATCGTCGACGGCACCGTCGCTGCTCTCGGCATCCTCGATGAACAATTGCTGACCTTCGGCCACGACGCCGGCGTCCTCGAGTCTCTTGCGCTGGCTCCGGCGTACGGCGTCCTGCCACCTCGCCAGCGCGGCCGCGTGGTGGACCTTGAAGCCGAAGATCTTGGGCTCGTAGCGTCGGCGCGACTTGACGGGAACCAAGGCCGGATAGACCTGAAAGAGGATGTTGTGGAAGGAGGAGCCAAAGTAGGCGCCGTCGATGCTGGCGTGGCGGCTGGATTTGGGGTTGTAGATGTCCTCGCATTTGGCGCAGTAGAGCTTCACCGTCTTCAGGCCCGGGTTGTCGCTGGGGCCGAACGGCAACAACGGGTGGCTCTCGCAGATGACGCGCGGACAGCGGCCAAAGTCGGATTTCTTGAACTTCTCGACCATCTTGGCGAGGCCGCGCGTCGTGACAATGTAGCGCGCGTGCACCAGGCCGTACAGGTGGCGGGCCGACTTCTCGATCGTCTCGCGCATGTCGTCCTCGCAGTCCAGGTCGAACACGTCGGTGATCAGGTCCAGCGCGTGTTGGTAGTAGTGCACCTCGGTGTTCAGGCCCGTCAGGTTGAACCGGTCCGTGATGTACTCTTCGTCGATCTCGCAGAAGTACTCGTTGCCGCGCGAGGAGATGAACTGGGGGTGTAGAATGTCAGTTTGTTTCATGGTTTCATCTTCCATGACCCGTGATCAATTATTTGTTGTTTGATGTTCATTGTCAAATACCTTCAGGAGGTTCAGGAGGGGGAGGGGAAACTGTGGGTGTCGCTTAAAATCCCATAGAACTCTTGAGGCCCAAGTGAGGAAAAGGTCAATCACTCACCCAGTCTCTCCAGTAACTGGTGTAGTCGCTGTCCGTCTCGGACTGGAAGTCCTCCATCTTGTCGAAAAGTGCGAAGCCGACAAAGGTGGCGAGAAGGAGGGCGGATGATAGAACGATACAAGTCCCGGTAATGGAGACGGAAATGGCCATCGTGACAGTTTGAGGGCGTTCTGTTAGCGTGGTGTTAGCGCCAACGGTGAATCAAGCGACCAAGCAGATGAAGCAATTTTACGGTCGAGCAGGTGTAATTTGTGTGCAGCTGTGGGTCTTGGGCGCTGGTGGACTTGGCTCACTTGCGAACGGGGTGGACGCCCTGTTCCAACAATGCGATGCCACAAAGCTTTTTGACGGCCTGTTTTTGCACTTGTCACACGGCGCTTGACCTCTACTGCCGCACAATCTGCTGACACTGGACAAAGGCTATCCTATGCTGTTGGGTCTGCCCTGAGTATCCTCTGCTGAGCATGTTGAGACGGGCATTCAAACCGCCCCCAACGTCGAGTGTTGGACGTGGCGGCCACTGTGATCTCAAAGCGTCCTGTTGAAGCAATTCTTCGACACATCTCTACAGGCTTTGTGTGCTATGGGAGACGTTCAGGTTCAGTTTAAGCTCTAACACTGCTACAATGTCTACAACGTGGGATCTGATGGGCCTTGATGTGCGTAGCTATTATCACGCCTGGAAGAAATACTCGGACTGGTGGCACTTCTCCATCCCTGTTCTACGTGGATGCTACACTTCTGTGCACCTCTCCTTGCTGTTGCGAGGGTGACGGCTCAGCTGACAAGGCTCCATACTCGCCTGCACTGGTAGATATTGAGGGTTCTGACTAAATACAGTGTCCGCATGGCCTCCAACAAACATGATTTGTGCCATACAGGACACGCGCGTGTCTGAAGAAACTCGAGGCACAGCACAGGGTTTACGCATTGGATGGTCCTGCCTGGTACTCAATATGATGAGGCTCGCCAGCCAATCGACAGATAGTATCTTCTACTCGGTTTGAGGAGCTTTTTCGATGATCCGCATCTGCCAAAACCCAGACCGCAGTCGCATCTCCGGTTCTGAGAGGCCAACGTAATATAGTCGCAGGCAGTGGTTTGAAAGAGACACCACGCGGACAGCATGGTAGGTCCCTGGTGGAGGGCGTGAAGTCAGGTGAACAGGCTCCAGTTCCATGCCCTCCCCTTGAGCGCGTCGCTCACAAACTTCTCTGGTTCCATCCGTTGGGTCCGACCTGGGGAGTTGCAGGACATTGCCTATGGAGCAACGTGAGAGATTGCTGTGACGAGGCAAGAGCTGCGATCAATCAATCTCCCGATTCGGTCTTGTTGCTGGGTGGGAAATAGCTTCACCAAAACTGGGGAAACTGAATTTCAGACAGTCCGGACTGGGGAGTATGGATCTCCCATCTTGGATGGGCTTCAGAGCTGACAGTCAAAACCTCCAAGGAATCTCGACAGCAATTTGGTGCGTTGATGGATCGTCAAATCGGTTCGTAGTGTGGATGTGCACAGCTGTCCCGAATTGGAGTTCCGTGTTATTCTGCTTTTCCGTGACGATATCGGTGTTAAAACTCAACGGGCTAGCCCAAGCTATCCAGGTACTCGGCACAGAGAAAGCGCTGGAACCCTGGACGGTGTGAAACGACATCCGGGAGCTCCTGTGTTCCGCTGGTTGTGCCAATTTCCGGGGCAATTATGCCACCAGTATGCGTGTCCTCTCGGTCTTCATCAACCATCTCTGTTTCGTCTTCTCTCGTCTTTGGCGAGCCACCGCCATCATGCCTGGCACCTTGCGATGGCCCATCACTGCGAGTAGGCTGGAGTAGGATAGTGTATCCATCGATCTGGTGAAGGGCTTGCGTCTTGAACGAAGAGACACTGATTGCGAGCCAATGTCGTTCAATGGCAAGAGTCTGGAGGTTTCGAACTCGCGAGTGCTTGCTGTCCGGCTTCAACTCAGTAACGTGAACGTGTGTAGACTTACAACGACACCTGCGAACACTTTCATGGAAAGTAGTGGGGACACTCACATGATTGAGCATACCATCTCTAAGATCCATCTTGAGTTTATTAGGCCGTTCCAGGTCAGGACTTTGACCGTGTTGGAGCTTTCCGAGGCATCAGGCACAACATAACGGCTGATGAAAGAGTCGGTTTGGTCTGTAGCCTTTAATCGTGGTGAAGCAAGCGCGACCATATCGAGGTATTCTAGGATTTCATATATTGACTCTTGAGTTTCATCCTGGGACAGAGCCGGGGAGTGGCCAGGGAAATCAGTAAGCACTGAGGGGCCTAGGACGTCCGACAGTTCTCGTACAGAACACGTCAATGTTTGGACAGTCGGATAATGTGCACTCAGAGGTCCTAAAGGGGTTTTGTCGAGATCTAGGTAACCTATTAGAACCGAGGAAACAGTGTGTGCCATACAAGTGCATGCCAATACCTGCATCCAAATTCAGGAAGAGCCAGTTTAGACTCCTGTTCAGAGTATGCTGTGCAGCCCACACCAGGCGATCGAATCCTGGCTTGCCACGCAACATTGAGGGAAGGCGGAGGTTGATCTCAACGACTGGCTCAAAAGTCAGCACATAACCTAGAGACGTTGCATACTGAACCAAGATAGCTGAATGCTTCAACTCAAGGGAGCTTTCGGGAATGTTGGAAGGTTAAAGAAAGTCTTACGATATCTTGATTTGACATGCTTTCTACCACCGGAAGTTGACACGGGTACACCCTGCAGGCCGGCTCTCTCATAAGAGGCTTTCGAAAGTTCCATGCGCAGCATTCCTGTAACGCCGCGTCAGTCTCTAACCCCATCAGGATTCTATCCTTGGGCCAGCTGATTGCGGATCAACTCAGGGCTTTCCTTACCCTCTTTTAGTGAGAAGCTGTCGTCAACGCCGGGTTCTCCCTCAGAGATCATGAGAACATTTCCTGGGCGGAGACACCTAAATCAGAATCTGCCCGTATCGCTGTGGACCCCTTTTTGATCCCTTGTGTTCCTGAAGGCATAGGATGAATCCTACCTTTCTTTATGTATTCAGTGAAGAACTCTCCTTTGAGCACCTCTTCAAGCCTCATGATGACCTTCGCATACTTTGGTCTCGATATCTCTGCTGTGGCGCTATCCCAGAGCAGGTGGTGTAAGTCATCCGGTAGCATGATAGTCGCAGAACTGCTATACGATACCTCACGGATAGTGTGCCATGGAGGTCTCTTGGTCGGCGCTTGAGAAAATGAAACGTATCCTGGGAGCTCCCCCATGGATATTTGCACTTTCGGGGCCGGCGCCGACCCTGTTGCAAACAGAGGCGACATCTTGCAGCTGCTGGGGTGATGCGAAAACAGGAGGGTGGGAGAGAAGCATAAGGTGCACAGTACATGACGGTACGGAGTATTGCCTCTCAGTTGCACTTGAGCTCCTGACTGATACTTCACCGTATCATTGCGCTAGTGCTATACGGCTTGGCGTCGTGGAGGAATGTTTTTCGAGTTTCTCCAAATTCGAAAGTTCGTCCTTTGCAAAGTTATCGGCCATTGCCAACGCCAACTTGAAGCGCGCGCAAATGATGCGGCGTCTCTATGCCTCTCTTCCATTTCTATGGTGAGTGCTCCTCAATTCTTTCACCTTGGAATGATGAACACATGCAATCCAACTCCGAGAACTTTCTCTGAGGATCAACATAACTCTAGAATTACGCTGACCACCCCTCGTCCACACTTGCTTCCCAGCTGCACACTTGAGGTGGAAATGCTGACTTGTATCCAGAGAGCGTCACTGCTAGGTTCACTGTGCTGTCGAATGTCTGCGAAGCAGTCCACTAAAAAGGTACGACCCCTCTAAATCAGCCCTTTCATTTCCTCTCCCGCCCATTCAGTGATGACTCCACGACACGAAAGGCATTCCTCAGACTTAAATTACCATGTGGAATCTGTCTCATACAAGTTTCAGCCTTGTCTGATCGTCTATCTCGTCTTCGGCCTCTTAGCATATTGTTTGCCGACCGTCAAAGCTGACTAGATCTTCCGCAGGTACCGTCCATACACTCTCACCTCAATTTCCTTCCTTTCCTACCATGACGAAGACTTGAACGAACGGGCGGACAGACTGCGTGCGCGGTGCCCTCCATCTGTAAAATCAAGACGTACAATCTTGTGGATGCTTGGACTCGCGACACTTGTTGAGAACTCGTCAGCTGATCGACCGCTCAAGAAGGATTTCACGAATATGTGTAAAGTGCGAGAGCTTTACTGACGACATTGCCTTAGGTACATCTCAATGACGCCCCTCGCTCTCTCCTTGCATCTCATGATGAACACTATTCACACTGTTTGAACCGAGCTCTCGCTCGGGTATGAACGCATTACACTGAAAATTCTGATTTAATGAGGTACGTTCCCCTCTCTACGTCGAGATCTTTTGCTGACGACTCGCTAACAGCCTGAAATAGATGTTTTTGTGACGCCTGTCATTGTCGACCTTGGTCATCGGGACTTTCACTGACCACACCTGTTGACAGGTAAATTCCTGCATGCTTGACGCTAAGTGAGCTCCGTCCAAGAGAAGGTATGCAGTCACTTTCCCCCACAACTCCGCTGCTCTGATGATCTCTTGTATTTCGCTGTGTTCTTGCTGAATCCTTATGTGGAACATACATCACCTTGGAGAACTGATCTTGTTGATTGCCCTTCAATTCCCACGATGCCTGCCACTTACTTGATCATTGTTCTAACAACACTATAGTGCCTTTCGTCGAGAAGCGTGTTCTTGAGAAATGCTTTGGAGAGATGATGTTCCATCACCGTGTGCGAGAAATGTTGTGCTCAACCGGGGCACTCAGCATAGTATCCCATCCGTTCATAGCTGATAGATGTCATATAGCTGCTGAAAAGCAGGCTATCTCTCATTCAGAACCAATATCCACGTTGAACCTGTCACTTCGTAGCTATTGAGCAGGCTGGTGGTACTGTCACCTGGGTGCTTTTAGCTAACCACGTGGCTAATTGTGGAGCTACTTCGGCTTGCTCTCCCTTCCGAAATTGTGACTTCTGTGCACACGACAACATCCTTCCCTTGTCATGCTGTTCACCTTGATGTCTGGTAACTAAAAGTAGACTTTCTGTCTTGTAATTCTAGAGCTCCAATGTCTGGATTCGGGGCTCCGGGAGGTGAGTGCCTCCAGTCCTCAAGACCTGCATGGTGCAGACGAGACACCTGCTATTGACTTGCCCCGGTCGGCTCGCTCGATCATCGTTCTTCGCATCCTTCTGTTAGCAGCAAGACTTGTTCTGACACGGTTGCAGGTGGTGCGTCGAATTATAAGCCCACGCCTCCCGAACGCGGGTCTTTCCCGCTCGATCACGATGCGGAATGCAAGCACATCATCTCGTCCTACCTGCGCTGCTTGAGAAGACAGAACCCGCCTGGGAAGAACAATGAGGAATGCAGATTACTCGCGAAAGAATACCTGGGATGCCGGATGGAGAAAGGCCTCATGGCCAAGGATGAATGGTCGAATCTTGGCTTCAATCTCGAGAAGGAGGCGGCGGATAGGACGACTGAGAAGGCGACCAGTGCCGGTGACGACAAACGGAAGAGCTGAAGATCACGTACACCATCTTCAAGCGTCAACCGTGCGGACTTTCTCAAGGGACTGGCCTCGGTGCAGCTCATTCTCTGCGGAGCGCCTCGTCGGATGCCGCAATGACTCTCAGATCCGTGGCGGGGAGGGATTGAACAGAACAGGTCATCCACGGCAAGGCATGTGAACAATACAGGGGCGTGCGCGGCGGCTGTACTACCGGTCACTCATCCCGGCATTTCCCAAACACGGCACCTGGAAAGGCATGAACGAATTCAGGACCCGACGGCGGGCCCTATCTGCTGGGACGAGTTCTGGGTGAATGTTTCCGAGCCCACGGTATCTCTACGCCCTACTCCGTGTGGCAGTATAGTATCATAAGGATGGCGCGCCTCATCCTTGCCTTGGGTGGAAACACAGGTTCTGTTGGGGGCTGGACTTGAGCAATCGATGGCCTCTTTGGCCTCAGAGATATGCGCGGCTATTTGCCGCCAAGGGCCATGGCAGGCAATACCGCCGCCACTGTCCCTACTTGAGGTATCAGGGCTATCGCCGCTGGCCTCGCTGGTCAGGTGTCAGTGCGGCGGAAGGCAGGTCTCTACACGTGCTGAATAGCTGGAGGCTGCGATCCTGTCCATCCTCGGGCCACCCGCAGCTTCACAAGGATCGCATCCGGGTGCTCCGATCTGGAGGTGGCAATCATGACGATACAACGAGCGCAAATGCTCAGGTCGTTCGGTTTACTCAACGACCTGGCCGCCTTTCTGGCTTCAAGCCCAACACACAGAACTACTCCGTGTGCGTGAGCGCGACAAACTTCAGCTATCCCTTACAACTCTCCTCTTACTACCGTGTATATTGGAGTGCCCCTAACGGAACACGCTTTGTAGCCCTCCGCCACTCTGAACTGCCCAATTACAGCAATGCACAGGGGGTATCTTCAAACGCGTGGCGCATGGTGGAAACAGCTTAGCAACGTTACAATGAGTAAAGGAGAGCGCCGCCACTCATCCTTTGCACTACGTTAATTATCTGGCAGCTTCCAGGGTACACTGTACACTGAGTACACCGTACTGAGTAAGCACACTTCGGGGTGGGTCTTGATGCTTGAGCATGAGCTTGTTTATTTCTCATCGACTTGACCCGCAAAGAAGTGATTTCTACGTTCGGCTAGTCATCAGAGATCACACCGTCGACCTCTGGCACGGGGCTGCACGGACCCTGGCCGGCGCCGTTTGTGTCTGGCAACCCACCCCGTTTCTTGAAATGGTCCTGCTTCCAGTTTCCACTTTTCAGATATTGTCCGGCGTTGGCGGCTTTACGAGTACGAGGTACTCCATTTGACCGCGTCTTGACCGAACAGTGATCCAAATGTGATAAGGGGCAAACAAGCGACTCGGTGCTGCACAGTACGAGGACGAAATACTGCTTAACTCATGTGGCTTCCGCAGGAGTCCTTCTTTTGCCACAGTTCCAGGTTTGAGAATGAGTCTGGGACAGCGCGCGCTAATTAGCCGACAATGCATCCGAATTGTTGCAGACTTGGCTCTATCAAGCATCAAATGTCTCGAGCATCACTAGTTTTGCCATGGGCTACTGTCGATCGCCCCTCTCACATTGGACACCGTCTGGTCTAGCCGTGTTGCAGCGACTATGTAACTCGTCTGGAGCGGACTATCGCATCGATCTTGCAGGGTTGTCAGCAGCTTTAAGGCCTCCCAGTACCCGTACCCCAAGCTCGATCTGAAACGGCGCATACTCAGTACCACAGTAGTTCGCGCCATGACTCCGTTCGAGCCGGTCCATGCCCGCATCGCCCCTTCAATCACATCGCCACTAGCTGCCTGTAGCGCTCTGCGCGTCTCTCCGATAGGTGGGCTATTCGGGTTCGGGACCAGCATGGCTTCATTGCGAGCCACAATCGATACCCTGGAATACGTGTGTGAAGCTAAGGCAGAAGGGTTGCCAGAGGTCTTCAAGATATAACAGCCGTTGAGGCTCCGCTGCGCTTGATATGCGACACCAGCGGTGATGTTGACATGACTACACGATCGACGACTGTTAGAGCTGTGTAAACATGACCACGGAAGCACCACCAAACTATCTCCGCGTCTCCACCAGAGACGAGGAGGATTTAGATTTGCCAAGTCAAGCCCACCTACACGAGATCGGCGGCGAGAATCCTACGAGCATCGCGCAAGCGATAGATGTTCCTCCGACCGCGGTAACCCCTCCCTCATCCCCTCCTACAAGAACGCACACTGGAGAGCTGTCCATCAGTACCCTCACCGAATCTCGTTCCGGTAAGGACTGTGTCGCATTGCGCACTTCAGACCTGCTGACAGTTGCTGAACACTCAGATTCGGAACCCTTGCCTCAGTCCCATGCGCGGCCTTCGGAGCAAGTGCGTGATGGAAGGAGGCACTCGTCTCTGAGCGCCTTGAAACGACGTCTGCAAAGTTCTTTCGACCCCTCCCTGCACGAATTGTTAGAGAAGAGCGGCCCCGATCCAAGCAGTCTGCGACAGTATAGCCGGAAAAGGCAACGCCAACGGCTATGGCGCTTGACGATCGGTGAATTCTTCAACACGGTCGCCCTTTGCCTGGCTTACTTTGGTATTCTATACGCATACGGCGGAAAGAGCCGAATCAGCGTGCGCGAGCGTCGGATATTCAATGCCTTAGTCACAGGCGTCAGTCTCCTGCTCGGTGTGAACCTGGCGGCGTCGTTACGAAGTTACGCAAAGTTGTTGAGATGGCGAATTCTGGCGATCTGTTATCGGCCACTCGAGACTTTCGACCTCGTCATGGGTTGCGACAGCTTGATCAATGTGATGAAGCTTCTGTTGAAAGCGCGCAACCACAGAAATAAGTTCTTGCCATCCAGAACGCAGATTATCTGTTTCGCATGGTTACTGGTCCGTAAGTTTATCGTGAGAGTCTATTTCGTTTATTCCAGGACCCTTATACCTTTCGATCCCCTTGTCGTCATCTCATTGTTCCCGACTAACCTGAGATTAGACTTTGCTATAACGATTTTGGTCGGTATCGTCGGTCTGAATTACAATCTGGATGATTCAACGTCGGCCCTGTTCGTACGCAAGGGCAATGTCAGCATAGTGGACCTGAATGCATTGTCCACCGGGTTCTATGCTTACGACCTAGCTCAAGTCCAGCAATGGGGAATTCGAGGCGTGGTCATTGACCCGTTGGACATCACCGTGGAGTCGGAGTCTATACAGAGCTTCTTCTCCGACACCACCGGAAACACCCTCTACTATTTTCAGGATCAGAATGCGGATGAACCGACTCGGATCATTCTTTCGAGTCGGTGGATCCAGTCTCAAGCGTATTGCACCGGCTATATCGTGACGGAAGGGCAGTACGGTAACCTCTCGTACATCATCTACAACGACGGCGAGCACGGTGTCAACCAAACCATGCCAGCTCTGGCTGGTCCGGGCGGTCTCTTAGTCATGTCTCAGCTCAACTCGACCTGCGGGGAACGATGCGTCGACATGCAGGCTTTCCAAGCAGCGACGTTTCCCGGCGAGTCCGACTACGACGTGGGCTATACAATCCCAGAAGGCACTTACTTTGTCTGCAGCAATACGGTGCCTCAAGTTGGAGATGACGAGAACCCTCACCTGAGCCGTGACTTCTTGGTCGATGCCATCGTGAGCCAAATGTTGGCCGGAAGCCTGGGATGGAGCGATGTCCCACCTGTCTTCAACGGCACAGCGGAATACGCAGTCTACACGAATTCATCCCGGGTCAGCTTTGGCGGCCAACCGGTCGACACGGACATGGCTGCACTTATCTCAGACTTCACGATGGGGGCGATCGCGATCATGGATGGCTCGAATCTCATGTACAGGCGGAACGTGACCAGTGACGAGCAGCCGTACGTCGCGCAGGTGCTCAAGGTGAAATGGAAATACGCGGGCAGCATCCTTGGAGTAATCCCATTCATCCACTTTCTGACCCTGGCCCAAGTCATTCTCTGGGCCAACAAGGCCATCATCAAGGACGACAGCCACCTCGCCATTGCCAAGGTATATCACACCTTCTTGAGTCGACTGGGCGACCGCGGCTGCCTGTTGCGCGGTGACGAAATCGTCGCCTTCCTGGAGAATCCGAGCGTCGCCTATGGCTGGCGCCAGAGCGTGGAACCGGACGGCGCGGGCTTAATGCACGTTGACGTGTTTGACCGTGGGCAAGGTCTTCTGAGGGAAGAGCGTCCTTTCCAAGAAGGATGGTACGATGGCGGCGGCGGAAGTGAGGGCAATCACCCTGCCGAGGAGTCCGAAGCACAATGCAGCTTGCGGAGACGATATCGGGACTTTGATGCAGCGCAATACTTCTAGACAATCACTATACCCCCATTGGACCTGGACTGAACAATCATGACCTTTTTCTCCCTGACGTGCGACCGAGCCGTTATTGATCCATCAGGGCCTCATAGGGCAAAGGGCAAGGGTCCGATGTGCGTGCACCGCGGACTTTCTCTCTTCCGTTTGATCGCTACAATTCATCCCTAGGTCAATCTGCTCAGGGCACACCAGAGCCGGACGCCTCCTGTGTTAAGCAAACACCAATAGACTTCTGAGCCACTGAAAAGATGCGCATTGCAGGTTCCGGGTGCTTAGACATGCGGGACGCGTCCCTGCGACTGCACACGCACACGTCACTTGCGCCTGGTTTTCGGCACCGAAGTGATGGTCGGCTTGTCATCGACACCCGCGATACAGCGGCCGAGGTAGGCTGTGTACTGCTCCGAATCAGCCAGTCCTGCAAAGAGGGAAAAGGCAAGGCAGAGATCTATCTAGTGGCGGTACTTACCTCGAGCAGCACTTGAGGAGTATCCTTGTGATCGACCCGGTGGGCGTCCGAGGGAGAGGCTGTGTCGACGGTCTTCAGCTCAAAGGGGACGTCTCGGGTAGAAGAGGAGCCGTGCGAGGTGCTCATCATGGTGAATCGCGGGATGTCAAGATGCTCGCTGCTTTTCTGATTGTGCGAGGAGAGGTCGAGGTTGCGGTCGATGTCGATGATGAGGGCGTGTCTCTCCCTAATTGCAGCTCCAATGTCGTGTCGCCCCTCGCTGGATATGCAGAGTTGAGCGGCGAAGAAGTGCAAGGAACTCAAATATGTACTCGCCGCGTATGGTCGAGCCGTCGCGCGTAATACTCGTGGGTCAACATATAGTCAAGGGTTGAACGGAATGTGAGGAGTAGTAATCATCTCGGATGATCCAACTTTGGCATTGGGTGATCAGACTACTTCCTGTCACACTCACCTTGATGGCGGGACGGCAGCTGAGGTCTGCACCCCGTCTGCCAGAGTCCCGGCCCTGGTTATTGGACTGCAGGCAGGCATGGCTACCCGAAGACACTCGTCTGCTCGAGGGCTAGTGGATTACTGCAAGTCCCCAGTCGGCGACCACGAGGCTCTCATGACGAAGCGCGCGGCGGAGGACAAGCAGCCAGGCCTCTCTGATGGACGATGAATCATGAGGCAGATCCACCACCCAGCCCCGTCTGGAGTGTGCAGCAAATCCACTTGCCCTGCCACCCTGCTCGCGGCCGTCTGCATGTGTACAAATACCTATCCTGGTCTAGCAGGACTTGCGAAACTTTTGCTTCGGAGAGACGCGCCAAGCTCGACGATACAGCCTTGCCAGGCCCCGGCCTCAGCCTCGTCTGCGGAAGGCAGGTGTTCCGAGGAGGCTTCACTTACTCAGCTCGCCTTCAGCAGATCTGCAAGGGTCAGACAGCGCTCTGAGCACTACTTTCCACTTCCTGACTTTGCTTCTGAGATCTTCTTTCCCAAGGGAAAGAACCCATATCCACCCTAGCTGACGCCTTCTCTCTATCTGGACACTGCAGTAGATTATCCCTGTCTTGCAAGCCTCCTATTGCTCCGCCAGTTTTCAGCCTTACCACGAAAGGAGACAGGAGGGACCTCAAACCGTTGGCACTGGGATCTGTGGTATGGATCGCTCTGGGAGGGATCACTGAGCCATCACCGGACACAGTCTCTGTGCCTCGACATTGACTTCCTGTATGGGAAGGAGCCTTGAGCTCTCATTCACAGCCACGTTTCGCGCAATTGCTGCACGAGGGCTGGACGCTTATCTAGCACTTCTCCAGCCATCGACATCTGCACACGGAGTCACAACAATCTCTGAGCCCCAGGTCGGGACGTCAGCTGCTGGGCACCAGTGATGCACCGTCATGCGCTTAGCTCATTTGCACATCCTAGGCCTTATCCCTTATAGCCACTCGCTCCGCTTGCAAAACGCTACCATTGAGAGGCATTTTAGACACAAGGACTTGTTGCGGCGTTCAGCAGCAGCGGTGGGAGCAGCCCCAGGCCACGATGCCCAAAGTGGAGTGAGCAGTAAGATACATGCATTCGTACCCGAAGAAAAGCACGCTGTCCGGGAAGACCTGTCGGACGCAAGAAAACAAAATGCTTTAACTGGACCGGCATCTTGGACTTCAAACGCCGTAAAGCTGCAACCAAATGTGGCAGAGGCATCCCACGATCAACCACGCACCTCAATGCTTCAACCCGGAAGTGGAAGTTGCACTACAGCGTCGAGCTCGACGTCGAATCAGAGGCTTGGGTTCCAGAATCGCCAACACGATGATACCGGTCCACCAGACCCTGTCCTCCTCACATTTAGTACCCCTCCTACCTACACGGTTGGCCGGCGCCACTTGTTGACCAATCCGATCTCTCCAGAGCAGCAATATTTCCTTTCGGCCAACGGCCTCGCGACCTTCCACGCTTCTCCTCGTGGGGGCCTACTCACTTACCACGCCCCTGGGCAGGTGACAGGGTACGTGATTGCTGATCTTCGGCGTCATGGCATCACAGCACGCTGTTGGGTGAGACTATTGGAGGAGAGCGTCATCCGCACGTGTCGTGCATGGGGCGTCAGGACGGCGCGGACAAATGATCCTGGGGTCTGGGCACTCAGCCGTGAAAGAGAATCCGAGCAGACACGGTCGCCAGGAGAGGATGGGCAGACAGGGCAGACACGCGAACCCCAGGCCAGCGATCGGAAGATATGCGCCATCGGCGTCCAGGTCTCGCGGGGTATTACTTCTCATGGAATTGGGCTGAACGTCCATGACGCGCCGCTGGGACTGTTGCCATCATCGTCTCACCCGCAGCAGGGGGAAATGAATAACTTCACTTTCACGCCTGCTCAACTTTGCTCACCGTCCTATGATCCCGTCACCAAGGGCCATTTGTCATGGGGTTTCAGCCGCATTGTGGCCTGCGGACTCGAGGGCAAGAGCGTCACTTGGTTGACCAGGGAGATGGGCTCCTCCGACCCAGCACTGGCACGTTCATCGTCTTCGACACAACCGTTTCCTCCGCCGACTGAAGAAGCCGTCGCCACCATACTCGCTCGCGAGATCATGAACGGCCTAAACACCATGAAAGGCGCAGATAAAGAGGCCGTCGACGGGATATACCGGATTCAGCAGGCCGATGTCCTGACATGATCGACGGGATTGCGAACGAAGATGCCAACCCGATTAGGCTCATCCACGTGCAACCTCGAGACAAGGGACGTCGCCTAAGATCAACGCATCTATTTCATGCTGAAGTGGGTGTAGACAGCAAATTGAGCCCGTTGCGGATCTTTGACCAGGCATCGCTAGACTGGTCGTCCTCTTTCTCTTCCAAGCAGAGACGAACGGCAACGGCGAGATGGTATCTACTAATGACGGCCACCTCAACGAAGCAGCGTGGTAGAGATGCTGCAGCTAGAGACGGGTCTCCTCACAGTAACCTCGTCAGGAGGACCTCGCTGTACGTCCAGTTTGTCACTCTTCTCACTGTTGCACGACATCATCATCGGCTTCGGCTTCGGCTTCGGCTCTGATAGTAGGGTCTGAGAGGACGGGACAGAACAGGCCATGCCATGCCATGGCAATAGCAACCCACCTTTCGTCTCGTTAGGTCAGTAGAAAGCGCTCGAAGCCAAATCTGCCGAAGCCATCGTCCTTACGGCAACATTCTCGCAACCCTTCACGACTCGCTCCTCCGATAATACCGTCAACTTCGATCCTTCATGGAACCAGACGCTCCGGCCCACCAAAAGAGTTCCCTTCGAAACAGGCCCATGATCCTTCGAATAGCAAGCCCAGCTCCCCTCCATACACTACTCACGAGTACTGTACCTACCCACTCACCCGACTCAATCGCATGGCAAGATACCGTGTTGTGGCATGTCGGCTCATCTCGCTGAGAATAGCTGCAGTTGCAAGGACCACGTGCCTATCTACCTATCTACCTACCTATCTAACTGCCTACGTATCTACGTACCTACCTCCTATAATCACCTCTTCTATCTCGAGTCCCTCCATTCACCGGCAGTGTACATCCCACGCCGCGCTGCTCATCGATCGTCAGACCTTTCGCGCCAACGCATGACCCATCCCGGCCGTATCAGATGGAAGGAGACGACGGTCTCCAACTCCGAGCAAAGTTCATCTCGGCGAATCAGACTGGGGGAGAAGACAATTTCCATTCCCCATCACTCTTCCGTGCCAGCAAGGTCCCATCTCCATGTACGAAAACAGACGGATCACGGGCATAATTAGGCCCAACTCCCACCTCACTTCAGCCAGTCAGTCAAACCCGTAGTCTAATCAGCCAGTCATCCAGTCATCCATTTCGCTCCACCAGTTGATCAAAATCACAAGGTATCACCAAAGTCGACCAATGCTTGCATGGTCCGGGAAGAGGATTGTATTAGCTTGCCCCGTTTGTCTCCCAATGCGAGTGGTCCGTATGATAAATAGCTGCGCCGGGACCTGTAACTGTACTTGTAACTGTACCTGTATATATCTCCGTACCTGTATATATCCCCGTACTTATACCTATACCTATACCTATACCTGTACCTGTACCCGTACCTGTATATACCCCCGTACCTTTACCTGTATGTATATATCCCCATACCTATACCTGTATGTACATATTGCCGTACCTGCAACCCTGCAATCGCTGCAACAGTAAAAGTACGGCATGGAATACATAAGCTACTGTACTGTACTGTACATTACTGTAGGATGTGAGGTGTGAGGTGTAAGAGCTGGCTGCGCGCGATCTCGGTCCCCTGTGAAATGTTGGTCGTCCCAAGCCCCCCGCCCCCCAGGCCCAGTTCCGCCGGGCACTGCGGACGGACCGATGGAGTTTCTCGGGCGCATCGGGGCACGATTGTGGTCAGTGTGTTCCAACATCGTCGTGTGTGCTTGTTCGGGCCCGTTGAAGTCCTTAAAGTCTCGACCTTTGGATCTTAGACTTGGATCTTAGACCTGGACCCTTGGACTTTGAACCCTTCTTAGGTTAGATGGAGATACACGGGCGCTATGGGCTTAGGCTGTACTGCGGACTATGGACCGACTGGGCTCACGACACGGTGTGGGGTGGAGGGGGGAGGAAAGAACCAAAAGCCGGAGGAATTGACAATACCTGATGCGAGCGTTATCAGAGAGGCGACGGATGGACGGTGCAGGAGGTAGCAATGCCCCCTTACATACTCGGTACGGAGTCACCGATGCAGGTGCATACACTCACAAAGGAACTGTGGCCTGCCAACACAGTGTGTCTTCGATGTCTTATTGATCCTATCTGTCGAGTGCTTCGCTCTCCGCTATCAACTATCTTGCGGCTAGTCCTGCCAAGTGATGGCAAGGACAGACCAACGAAGGAACAGGGCAGGAACGGGACTGCCTGCCACAGGAACAATAGCTCTCTTGAATCACGCGTCACTCAGAAGTTCTCAGGGTTGAATCTTTGTCGTATTACCATAAGGGCCGGCTACTTCCATCTCCTGCGAAACCCTGCTCGGATGAGTCTCCCCGTCCTGTATTAATCGCTTTCATACCTCGAACTCATCCGCTATGATCGCAATCTGCATCCGGCACTGGTGCGCCTCTGGAACTGATCTGTACTGGCTTTTGTGTTTCAAGAAGGACCCAAGTCTTGACCATCCCTGTTGAAAAAGAAAAGAAACGAGCTAAGTCTGCCCGTCTGCCTGCTCTATTGTGGTCGTCTCGTGGAGAATATTGTTATACATCTGTAACGACTGGTAGGCAGCACTCCGTGCCATGGGCAGTAACGACAGGTGGGCAACTCTTTGTGCCATGTGCAGTAACGACCGGCTGACTGAGCAGCTACCCTGACCATGCCCCTCTTTGCGCCCGGTGAATCGCTAGAACTGTTACGTTGCGCCAAGATATGATTTTTCGTTAAAAGGAAAGAACAAAATGGAAATGCGTTCTGGGATTCAGATTGTCACCGTGTGTCACCGGGGAAGATACTGATACTGCCTCGTGATGGTCGGATCGTGGGATGGATGGTGGGTTTTCTCTTCGTCAAGTTTGGGTCCGGAGGACAAAGTCATGCTTCAGGGGTTTCCCGTGACCGGTAGCCTCCCTGAGTGGAAATATGGCGGTCCTCAGGGCATCTGAATCTGTGGTCGGCCAAAGCACAGGGAAGCGGCAGTGGCGCTTATCTGAGTCAATCACGTTTGCTGTACTCCTCCTCGGGGCTCCATATCACCGGTTGGAAATTAGAGTTCGAGAAATGAGCCGGACTCAATGCGGCACTACAGCAGTCAGCATTTGGATCCATGACCAGCACAACCAGAACCATGGGGTAGCGGTTTTCGGGTGCAGGAAAAACGCAGCCTTTTTGGGAGCTGGTCGAAACTTACCTGCCAAATGTCGCAGGATCTAGAGGTATGCTCTTGTTCTTCTCGATGCTGTATTGGAAACAATTCTCGTTGTACCTGATTTGAGGCTCGGCTGATTTAGGTAAGATGATTGATTTATTGGTCGTCACAGAAGTTGGTGTTACCGGTGATGGCGGCTGAGGAGACTGAGGAGAAGGCGAAATTTGAGGAGTCAGATGAGTCGTGGTTGAAGAGTAGCCCTGCTGTGGGAGTGACCGTGTCCGGACTGGAGGTGGTGGGTGTTGCGGTATTGTCGCATGAAAAACAGTTTGTGGTAGCTCTGGGAAGTAGGAATTCTGCGGCGTGGTTCTTTGCGCATACACAAGTGGCGGCTGAGGCTGGTAGCCCGACGAGAAGGCGTGGCTATTTGGATAGGACATCGATGGGGCAGATCCTGTTTGTGCTGCATTTGGAAACAAGAACGACAATTCGCCTAGGACTTCAGTATTCCCTGATCTGAATACCCCTTCGTCGGGAGCGGGTATGTATTGGGGGACATCCGTTTGCAGATAGACCTGCAATGGCTGCGGATGATGCACAGGACGGTGATCATCTTTGTAAATGATATCGTAGTGGCCACTGAAACAACAATCAGCAATAGTCACTAAACAGATGTAAGGTTGGGGCACGTACGGGCGATATATTAACCGAATAGTTGGCCATCCCTTGGCGTTATCGACAAATTGGTACGCTGTGACTTCGTCGCCCGTGCTTCTGTCGAGATATGAGACCTCGACTGCAATATAGGCGGGCGCGATGACCGCATCTGTGAGGGCTTGCAGACCGACATGGTCGATCTCTTGATTCGAAGGGTCGATTCTAGTGAGGCGATATTGCTGTACCGACATTTCCAGGAATGCTTCGTAGCGGTCCGGGTTCAGTTCCATAAAGGCGCTCGTCATCATCTGCTCGATGTCAGTGGCAGGGTGCCGGTATGGGGACAAACCAACCTTGAAGTGGTACACGATAGAGTTCGATATGTTCTCATCATTCAAGGACTGAAGGAGGACCGTTTCATTGGTATCTCCACGTTCCGTAGCTGATTTGATTGCTCCGAACAGCTCCCAGGTATAGTCAAACATGTCAGTGATGATGTCGTAGTCGATGCCGGCGGCGCGCATAGTCTGCTCGTGGCTGCGCAGGCGGACCTCTTCTTGGGCGACTAGGCTGAAGTCTCTGGATTGGAGGAGGATTTCGAAATAGCCAAAGACGGCGCCTGCAGACGTTATTCAAGTCCTCTTTCAAGAACGTGAAGGTGTGTCCTACCACGCCAGCCACACTGCCCGTCACCTTTGATCCGCCGATATGCGGAATGAGTTGCTTCGAGTGCCTGCCAAAGATGAGCAACATAGGTGATAAGGGTAAAGGGCAGTACCTTTGTTTTAGCCACATAGGTTGGGTCGGCTTGGGAGTACTCAGTCACGAGCTCCGATAGGGGCTTTCTGCTCCCTATCAACGGTCCCTGCAAGATTCTCAGTCGGCCGTACACTGAATTTGACACCGAGACGTACCGGTAAGCTGGGTTGGTAATGATCGGAGAGTTGCTGGAACTGCTCCATTTCATCCACGTCAGGCGTCGCCATTGTGCCGTCCGATTTCGGCGGCGTAGGGTAGCCGTAGTGCTGATGGTATGGACCGAAAACCGGGTTTACGGAAAAATGGTTGTATGAGACGGAATGTTGCCTGTCAGGCTGTGATTGCCCACGGTGACCAAACGTCGGCCTACAGGGCGTGGAATCGTAGAAGCTGGGAAGGGGG